GCTTCACTTGTTCCACATCTTGCCATGTTACAGCCTAATTACAAAATGGATTCATGGATTCATTTTTCAACTCAAAAATCTACACACAATGCCGCCAATGCAGTAAATGAACATCTAGAAAGAAAACACCATCAGTCATGTACTGATCCCACACTTCTTCAGTAATATTGAAGAAGTGTGGGATCATGTTGACAAAGAACAGAAAAAAAGGCCACCAACATCCAGAGAGGAGCTCTGAATATCAAGAAACCTGGAGAACTCTTCCTGAAGGCTACTTAAATAATTACAAAACAAACTTTGGCTAAGAGAGTTCAGGCCAAGCTGAAGAATAAAAGGTGGCCAATGCCATAACAAATACTGATTTTCATTAGAATTGATATAAAATATAAATACAAATACCAGCCTCACATACCATATTTTCATATTTTTTGCACAAATTCCAATAAATCTCTGGAGTAATTTTCCACTTTCCTTGGAAAATATAGACTTTTGCACAGTAATGTATGGTCCTTCTGTCCTTCTTTGAGCAAGGAAACATTTGTTTGACATTTGCTAAGATACTTTGATCAAACAGATATATTTGCGTTTTGGCCCTTTCTGCCCTTTTCCCAGACAACTGCTCCTTCCACCTTTGCATACTCTCTTTAAAATAGCACCCACATCTGAGGGGAATGACTTCACACGATCTTTCTCCTGGGCGCTCATGGGAAAAAATGTAAACAAGCATTAATTAATAAGAGCTAAGACATAACATTATTCATGTTTTGTGGGAGAACCTTTTTAAGAGAGATAGCAAGGTATAAATTATCTGTAAGATCCTCTTGGCTCTTCTTTTGACCTTGAGATTCCACCTGTCTGCAAAACCTGCTTCACAGCAGATTTTATTACAGCCACGAGGGTACTCACTGGGTGACGGAGGTGGTGGTGAAGCCGCAGAATCTGACTCATTTGTAGGTGTATCTGATTTGGACGTGACCTTTGATCCCTTGACAGATGACAGAGGACTCTTCTGTGTTGCATGCTGGATGCTCTTTCTAAACGATCGCAGCCTGCCCAACTTTGTGCCGCCATCGGTCGACAACTTCTCATCGCTCTTGATGGACCCGTTGCTCTTGAAGGACGCTCTGTCCTCACTGGGGTTCTCGGTAGACTTTTCCATCATTTGTGACATCTCATTTCATTTACTACCCAACTGCGAGTAAAAAATGTAAAAGAAAAGTTGTAAGGACAAAATGTCTCTCTGTGCCGTGCCTTTGCTCTACAAGTGAGCATGCGTGTGAGTGTTTAATCATTGTGACTGCTGAGAAAGTAAATGGGTGGAGGAATTTTGTTGACTAATAACACATGAGCCAGCAGTTTTCATAAGCACCCAAAAGACACTGCAGATTAAAATTAAAACTGCTGTATCTGCAGGTACAGGCTGAACTAAAGAAATTCCCCGGTCTCTCTCTGGCTGTGTTTTAAAAAACAACAACAACAACAAACTAAAACCAAGGAGAGGAGTTCAATATTAAAGAAGTCAGTCAATGAACAAAAAATGGTCAGTGACTGTTTTGACAGATGCTACATGTTTGATGTAGCTCTGGACCAATGTACAAAAAATGACATCCAAAAACGTCATTTGGATATTTGCAGAGTCATGAGATAAAGAAAAAAAAAACTAAAAACAATAAATTTTTATTCAAGACATTATAATAATAATAATAATTCTAACTATGTGTTACATGATCATGACTTGAAATGTCTTCATAATTTACTAGAAATGACTGCAGTGACTAAAATTCTATAACTTCCGATGTGGATTAAGAAGCAGAGGTCAAACCTCCAACAACTCTTTTACTATATGTGCATATAGATACCAAAAATATGCTACTTGCTGAATGCATTCACAGTATATATATAGTGATTTTATTTTATTACATTATATTATTTTATATTATAAAGGTTTACTACTAACAATGGCCGAATGAGGGGGAAAGAAAAGTCAACTTACCTCTGGGCGATTCCTCGGTTAATAAAACTTCCGCTTCACTCTTTATAGCTTATTCGGTGCTTTCGCTTTCTTAAATTTGCATCGCTGGCATGAAGGCAGACAGGAAATCTTTACCGTCAGCTGTGTCTCTGTAGGAGAAAGTTTTCAAAAAGCCGGCGGTAAAAGCAGAAGGTGAAGCAGGCGAACTAGCTTCTCTGGGCATCAGGACAAGCCAGAGATCACCTTCCAGTGAGCAGGTTTACGGACTGAAACACACACACAGAGACCTGTTGTTAATGATTAAACGGACATTTAGTCAGTGGGAGTGTCGGTCGCAGCACAAGCTGAAACCACTGACCGACATTTTTTTTAGTTTTCCCAACACCCTGATCCGTTTACAGGAAGATTTTCCCCGAACACACACAAAAATCCTACAGCCGCGTTGCCCCCATCAGCTCATGTTTCAAGGTTAAGAGTTTAAACCTTGTAGTGGTGCAACAAGCGCTCATTCTGTACGTAAGTGCAGCAACGAAAAAGACTCAGAATTTAAATTGTACTTCATTTAACATTAAACACGTCCGGCAATTCTTTAATCCTGCCCGTCAGTGTACTGGGACCACTTATCCACGGAGCTTTACTTACTCAGGACCCAAACTGACGCATTATTAAATATTTCTCTTGCATAACCTTTGGCTGTGTTCAGGGGCGAATCTAGATACGAAGCTTTAGAGGGCCTCATCCCCCAGCCACAATGCCAGGGTTAGTGCTCTAAAATTAATATTAATGGAATATACTTCTTTCAAATGTAGTCAGCTCTTTCCACATGTGCAATTTCAGTAGAATGTCAACTTCAAAAACAGCTTAAATAGCTGATGACATATTGCAGTGTCTAAAAATAATTCATAATAAATAATCACAGATTTAAATATAATAAACAGCTTTAAGGTGGAAACTTTAGTTATCAATCCTGATCCACAGTCTCAATCATTTTGACCAGAGTTTTCCAAAGTAAAGAACAACTTGTGAGGAGAGCACAGCATTTTTTCAATCTCTAACACATGGAGGTCAACCAAATCATTATAAGCACTTAAAGTACCATTATTCAATAAACAAAGTGGAAAATCTCACTGCCAAGAAGCATCATCTATCCTAAATCCAAGAGTGGGGAGCAGATTTGTAGTCTGTGACACCAATGCAGTTTCAGCTATCTTGTTTAGGCCATGTATACAGCGATTTGAATCCCATCAAACACTACTATTCATATTAGCTAGTACGTTCTTAAGAAAAACCACAGATATTTTAAGTATGCTGCTGGAAAGCACACAGTATCCATGAAATGGATGTCAACTTATTTGGTAAAACATTTCCGGCTAACCTCACCGTCTGCCCATTTACCCACCTGATTCTTCCTGCTCTTCTCGCTCTGCCCTCTCTCTCCATCCTCCTCACGCCTTCGTTCCACTGATAATAGCACAAACACTGCATTCAACTACAAAAAGCATAATACTATAATCTGATGATCATTATTGTAATAGCAGTTGGGAATCCATTTTTGATATCAGTATAAAACTGCTTAGTTATGTAAAATTATCATGAACAAATGTGGCCAAAACAGAAGCTACAGCTGTACATGTCTCACCTGTTTCTTTCTCTCTCTCTCTGTGTCCTCCTCTCTCAGACCTTGTGTGGTCACCCAAAAGTTAAAAGTAACAGTGAAACAGAATTTACAAACTAATAAAAGGCACAAATTGATCCATACCAATTTCTAGCAGTATTCAAACTGAATACAGGCTGCTGCTGGATATCGACAGGTAACATCCTTTTAACTTACTGTCACCTGGAACTGGAGCTGTGCGGTTAATAAACACTGAAACCCAATTTAAACAGAATAGGAATAGAAATCTTTAACAAACTGAAACAATAAAGTAGCTCTTTTTCTGGCAACTGGCGATATGCCAGCCAACTATTACTATAGTTACTTTTAGGGGTGCTGTGATTAAATTTAAGGATTTTTTTTTTTTTAATGGGACCACTAAAAAGGGTCTGAGCTCACCTATGGCTGTGTTGCATTGGGTGCTTAAAAATGATATACAACAATAGGTATCATAACAGATGAGTTGTACTTTTCCCCTCTCTACTACCTTCTTAAAGATGTAAAGAAGGAAAATTGCCTGTACAATATTTAACAATAGGAGAAGTTAGAGAAAATATCTGACTCAGGCTGGTTACCACTTATACTGGGGAGGCAGGTAAATGTAAACAAGTTGTAATAAAACCAAATCCGACATGATATCAGGACATTTATGTCCACTAGAGGGGGCTGTGTGATGTATTTGTTTCAGCCCAAACACTGCTGGTGCAGTGGTTGAGTGTTTGTCCATACCTATTTGAGTAAAAAAAAAGTTGAATATTTGAGCTTTATTTTTTTTCCAAGGGCTGTTTTTATGCACATCATTGCAGATATTCGCTTCAGGAAAAGAAGACATTTGAAATCGAAATAAGCGACTAAGTGTGAGTGGAGTAGGGTTAAAAAAAAGTGAATCAATTGCTTAGTGGATATAGTGGCCTTTTATTGGTATTACCATATATGCATTTCAGTAAAGCAATGTTTAAATCTTCTTAGCTACAATCACAAAAACT